TATATCTGCAATAGATAACATGATAATCTAATCAACCCTCCACAGTACAAACAAAATTATTCCGCAAAATGTATATTTCTATAAAATTCTGCTGAATTACATTTTAACATATGAATCTGTTTGCCTACGTGCATATTTAACTTTTTATGCGCGTTCAACATTCGAAGACTCGTGCGTGCCCGAATAAGATATACCCCGAGACCAGAATCGATCTATTATTACAAGCATTCTATTTTCAATTTATACATTCATTCACAAACATATTCCTACACGCACACACACACACACACGGACACACACGGACACACACACACAAGCAGGCACGCAGCGCGCTGTGGCTGTGCTTCTTCTCCCCCAACTTCCAAGATATGATTCTGGATTAACTTGATGTTATGATTTTTATGAAATTCTAAGGGCTTAAATATGACATACTTAAATATTTGATGTTTATACTAAAGTCCAAAGTAATACCCTAATTATTATTATTGTCAAATGTGTGGAGAACGGTGAAAGGTATCCTAAATGTGAAATAATATTACTGTGCATAATAATATATATTATATCAATTATATCTATATTCTCGAGAATTGATAAAATTCGCGATTTTTGCCGACAAATCGCCTGTCAAAAGTTGCCTTAAATTTTGTCGAAGTCTTGAACTTTAGGAAACTTATTTATTGTAAATCAGAGCAATTTGCTGTCATTTAGGGCGGGTTCCAATCCTTTAGAAAGAGCTCCCACATAAAACTTTTCTTAACTTAGAGATAAAATGTACCTGAAGTATGGAAAAATTGTAGCAAAAACTTAAAAGTTAAATCGCTTTAGGTTAAAGAAAAATGTATGCCCTTACGTAACTAAAGCAACCATTTGTATTCATTTTGTGGACATTTTATAAGTTTTAGAGAAATTTGTTTTTTGTTTTTAGTTTCCCTCGATAAAGGCCTGTCTCTTTCTAACAGACAGGCGGCATGGAGAGATGGTCATGCCTGTTGATGCTAAGCAAGAATTTATATATCCCATAGGGTCGGAGAAGCCTCCTTCTGCCTGTTTTAAACATGTAGACCAACCTATTATGCCCTTTCTACCCATTGTCAATATGGTTTCGACAATAAATACATATTTAAGTTTCAGACAAGAATTGAAACTCCGTGCACATGCAATTTATATTATTTTGTCTTGTCACAAAGAGATCTTTATTAAAGTGACTTTGTCAGCGGGTGACATTGTAATTTATGACAAGATTCTCGCCTTTTCAGTTTCAAGCAAAATCAAATTCCTTATTGGCAATAACAAACATAGCCAGAGGGTAAAATTAATTGAAGCAGGCAGCTAGCGGATAATAGGAATATTCTGAAACGTTGCCGGCTGACCCACATAATCAATGAGTAGTAAAATAATTGATTATCATGTAAGAATCACAACAATAAAATCTCAGTAACACACACTGGATTTATGTGTGTGTGTCCGTGTGTCTGTTTGCTTGTCTGCGGCCTTTGTGTATCTAACAAACGTGTCAGCAGGCTGCTTTGGCATAAAAGTCGTAGATGTCTAATAACGTGTGTGTATTGGTATCATGACTAGATACGCTATCAAAGCCACTTGAGCGTGTAAACGTATTTGTTCACTTGAGTGTCCGTGTGTGTGTGTGTGTGTTAATCACAGTCATGCCAATAAGTATGCTACGCAAATTGATTATTATGCAAGCAAAAGGCAAAAGCTAAAATAGTAGCTGAAGACAACAACTCAAGGTTTTACTGGTATTTGTTTTGGGCCTCGACGAACTTGACTTCAATCGACTTACATAAATAAACATTCATGTATTTTGTTTTACTTTTTTTCGGTACTTTCCTGTTGCAGGAGGCCAAGGAGACGCTGTGCGATCCGGAGAAGCGCGCCGTGTACGACAAGTGGCGCAACAGCGGCATCTCAATGAGCTACAAACAGTGGCTGGGCATGAAGGAGCACGTCGGCCAGGTGAGAAGATACACAATTGCCGAGAAAGTGGATAAAGAGGTATGCGTATGGGCCAGGAATACAGCGAAACAGAGAAGTAGCCGCCAATCCCCAAAAGACTTTAGAAAACTGAGCAACTGTGTGTTTTCGTGTGCCGTTTATGCAAATGCTTATACCCTGTACAAATGGAATATGACAAAGTGGGCATATTACAGCTGTTGAAAGTGTATCCACATCCAACTCGTCTCTGTCCGTGTCTGTCAGTCCTTTTAGGCGAGTCAAGCGCCGAGACAATAGTTGCAAAACAAATAATTTATGGTACTATCAATTATTTTAAGCAAACTTTAAAATATATGCTTTTTAGAAGACGCTAATCTTACATTTTAAACCAACAAATTTATATCAATATCAATATTGTGTTAACAGAACGTAAGAAGTTGAGCTACTTTCTATAGTTTTGCAACAGGGTATTCTCTACAGGGTTGTCATACTACTTATCTGCTCTTCCAGCTATAAGACATCCATTTTAATTTGTTTGTGTACCATTTTTTTTTTTGCTCAGTTAATGGAATCTGTAATCCGATAGCCGAATGCATTTGCATTCGCATTGTTACACAATTAATGTGATTAATCGTCGCAGTGAATCAACGCTCGAAGCTAATTTCCGTAGGATATTCTCGCCCATCCATCAATGTTGACAGCCTGTCCGGCTAATTGGCTGCGGTAAGTTTTTGGTCTGGCCATAAATAAGCTTTTGCCAGTCGAGTGGGCCAACTATTTGCACTGGTTGCATTTCGGTTTTGGCGGTTGCAGGCAATTTGGGCACTTGCTGCCAAATTCATATTTCGTTTTGAGGCCGCACGCACTTTTCTGGCCAGTGCGGTTAGATTCTCATTTGGGAGCAACATTTTTAGTAAAGCGTTTGCTAATGGTAAACGGCACACAGGAAGCACAGAGCTCAGCCCTAATAAAACTGAAAATGTGTCTTTAATTTAACTTGCAACAAACTTTGATTTAAGCTCCCAGTCTAAAGCCTGACACTGGTCGCCCGAATTCCTACAGTATTTACGTATTTTATGGTATTGTTTAAATGTGCCTCTTCATCCAAAGTGTTCTAAGTGTACGCCGTGCATGCAAATGAGGAGCTAATGCATCTGAGTTTCCATTCCGTGCACAAATGCAAATCCAGCCTAATGTAAATACAAGCACACACCAAATGCATTGGCTCTGAGAGTAGTTGCGTTAGCCCCTAACAAAAGACAGCTCAATTAATGGCCAAATTGTTTTCCACTCTATCAAAGTCCATGCATTGGGCCACACCTAAGACCAAGGACCGCATGCTACCGGAGGCTGACGCTGGAGCTGCTCCGCCTGGCGCTGGTTGCAGCAGCGGCGGGCTTACAGCCGCCTCCCCGAATCCGGCCCATCGTCGTGCCTCGGAGGGCGGCGCCGCACTCTACTACGGCAGCCGCAAGGCCGAGTGGGGCACTGAGAACACAGATGTGGCCAACAAATTTCGTAATTACGAGATCTAAGCGGCATTTGACAAATGCTACAAAAGTAGGGGGAACCGAGCACGTGATGAGTATCGATGTTATGAGATAAAAGAGAAACGAGTCGTAAAGTAAATTTTATGCATATTTATAGCCCATCAAAGGGCAGTATATCTCGATGTGAGTTTCAAGAATACATATTCCAATTAAAAAATATTACAAATTACCAAACAAAACAAATACGTTTAAAATACATATATATATATCAAAGCAGCATTGAAAAGCTAAATTACACAATATGCAAAATATTAATCAACTCTATAGAAATACTACTACATATATATTTATAATGGAAATACAACTCTACAGAGTACATACATATATATTGATGTGAACTTATAGCGTTGCGAATTATATAAATGTTTATAGGTGTATACAAAAAAAATTGGTAATTAAATATTGAAGAAACTGTAATTTCAATAAACATAAGGCATGCAAGCGGCAAGAGGTTTAATTTAAGTTAAATTGCAACATTTAAATGAAATTAGTCAAATTTTAAATGTGTATATCAATGGTAAATGTCTAACACTGAACTATATATACAAGCGTTTACTATATAGTATATATTTATCTACAATATATTTATCTACAACTATTTATATATTGATGTATGTAACATGTGCCCCCTATAAGACAATCCCTTTGGAAGTGTTTACCTGTGCACTAGAAAAAAACATTGATTATTCAAGCTGAAACTAGCATCAAAATGCCCACCACAAAAAAAAAAAAACAAACACATATAACCTACCACAAAAGCGAATTTATCAACTATATACACGAGTAAAACTGCATAGTCAAAAAACTACAAGAAAAATAACTTTCACTTGGTGTCCTTTCAAATGCAAAACTCAAATTTGCAAACAAAACTAAACTACTAGACTATTTTATTTATGAAGAACAAAAAAAAGACGGTCACTTACAGACGCGAAAAAAATGGAAAAAAAAATATATAAAAAAATAAAATTTATAAAAAAAATTATAAATGTTTTGATGCATTGTTGTTTTTTCAATATCGATGTGTGATGCAAATCTTAAATGTTATACAAATGAATATCAAAAGAAATATGAGCGAAAATTAAATAATGCCAACATAAAGGTACATTATATTATATAAATGTTTGTTTTAAGTCATATTGAATTTACTCAAATACACACATATTATTGAACTATACAAATACACACACATATATATATATATGAAAGCATATATATTAATTGAAATCAAAGCACTAGCAAAGTTTTGTCAGTTTGCAACTGAAACAGATTTTAAAACAGACACTTGCAGCTGCAAGCCAAAGGCAATTATTTTTGTTGGCCCACGTGGCGTATGAAAGGCGTAAGTCGAAGCTACTAACTAGCAATTATGCAAATACATATAAATGTTGAATTGAATGTAATTGAATTATGAATGTATAAGTGGCAAAAAAAAACCAAATAAAATCGGCTGAAGAGTCTTCAGCTATTGAACAAAGTTTATTTAACTTATTTAAACAATTGGCTAAGTATTAGATAATTCACGCGATTTGGCTCTCACTTAGCTCTAAAAGTTGACTCAGCATGACCTGTGAGTCATCCCACAAGTGACAGGGCCGGCGATCCGACTGCACGAACTCACGTATCCAGCGATTGAGCACTGTATGAAAATAGGGTTTGCTTGTAATATTAATAGAGTTCGAATTGTTCACACGACTTGCAGCTTACCCCACTTGGAGCCCACAATAATTGGGCAGGCGCCGTGCATGGTCCGTACATCGCCTGCGCCCGAGGCGTGCAGGTTGTACCAAAATGCGGCTAAAATTAGCAAAACAAAATAATATATTAACAAGGGGAGTTTAGCTGGGGCTGTGCTAGAGATGGGTGCGTTACGTTACACGGCGTGACACGAGCACGAACCAGAAATAGTCTCTACAACAATTTGTAGCAAGACTTGAATATACAAAATCGTTAATATACAAAAAATTATATATGTTATTATTATTTTCTCATTCTCCGTTGGATAAATCCCTGGATATTGCATTCTCTTTCACGCAGACCATAAATAACAATGCTAACTAAAATTGTTATCTATGTAGCTTGCAACTGTAGCCTATACCAATAATAATTATCCTAATATTATTTACGCATTTACAAAATGAGTTTTGCAACTATAATCTTTGGTAATTATTCAAATATTATTTACAAAAATAGTCTACTCTCTATTCTTTTTGCATCGTTTTGGAGTTGTTGAGCTAGTTCGTCCTACGCATAACAATGGGACAACCCACTCGTGCCGTAACAGAACCCATTACGCAAGCCACAGTTTGAGTCCGTTCAGCACGTACCCGCATACTTCTTGGGCTTCAGTAATTGCTTTAGGACGGGAAATGCGGTGCCGCCACCCTGTTCCACATCGGTGAGCTGTATGGTAACATAATAAATGTATTTGCGTGGGTTGACTTGGCACAGAGCACAAAAGGACTCACATAGAACAAGACTGTGGCAATGCGATTGCCCATTTCAGAGTTGGCAACCTGTTTGGTTTCGAACTGTCAAGAGTAAGTATTATTAGATGGATTTAACTATTGACGCCAGACTCCATTGTTTACTTACGGCATTTGGGGTGAACCAGTCCATATGCTGCGCGTAGTGACCGCCTATGCCGTAGTTGGCCAACTGATGATCCTCCGCAAAAACTACAATTGAATATGATTCATCTCAAATGGGGATTCCTGCTTGAGTTGAAGCTTACCCATGTTCAGGTCCGTCATATCTGCCACCCGTTGATCGATGGTGCGCAACACTTTGTGCCGCGTCTTCGGGATGAAGGTGAATTGGCTGGTGCGTGAGTTGGACACCACGGATGCGTTATTGCCAGTTACCGTGGCACGGTGAATTTTATTTTTGGTCAGCCTAGCTAGCGTATCGATTTCGCTCTGATAGATGACGTCATGGTAGAGCACAAGCAGCGGATCGTGACTCAGCTCCTCGACCTTCAGCGGAGCCAGCAGCAAAAAGGGATGCGTCTCAGTCATATAACCACAGCGCAGCTGTCGCAACTCTGCCGGCGTGGGCTTTATATAACCATTGCAGGTGTAGCGATACAGGTCGAACTCGCTTAGCTCCGTTAGATTCTCGGGCAAAGGCTGCGTGGCACAGGGATACGCATGGTAAATAAGTGGGGATGACGTGTTATACTTACGGGATGCTCCTCGACTGGGTTCAGCTCGTCAAATGGCGGCTGCAGGTCTTTGTAGTTATTTATATAACTCTCGCTGCCTGGCTCTAGTTCCTTAAGGCTCTGCAGGGTACCATTGACGCCACCAATATGAGCTAGTCTGGCCTTCACCTGCCCTAGTTGCCTCAAAATGAGGGGCAGCAGCCTAGCTCGATCGCTGTTTGCCAGACGGCTGTTCGCCTCGAGCAGCCAGGCGTGCGCCAGCTGCAGATGCTCATCCCGCAGTGCCTGCTGGGCTATGTCCAGACAGTGCTGGGCGCTTAGTTGAGTACTTAAACGAAGGAAACGTGATATAAGTGATGAAAGCGCTCCTTTCTTTTTATTTTTGACGATTTGGCTCACCTATAGGCCACGCCGTCGAGTATACCGGCAGCCACATGGCTGGTCTGTAACCTGTAAATGGATTGCAGGCGCAGCAATCCATCGATGGCGCCCTCCAATTCCTGGGCGTTCGGCATGTGCTCTTGCTGGCGCAAGCGCTGCAGGCGCACCAGTGGCTCTGTGAGTGGAGTGCACACAGAGCGTATACTTAATTACATTTGAACATAAGTGGATTTGGCACTCACTTTTGCCGGTTGCGGCTGCCATGAGATTCGCAATGTGTTGCCAGTCCCGCGTCAGTCGTTTGCTCAGTAAATATTTGTTCAACGGACTCTCAAAGTATGCCACGCCCCATTGTTGCGCCTCGTTGCGCTCCCGCTCGAATTCGTCCAGTCGCCTGTCATTGCAGATTGGGTTGCATACAATTCGATTAGTGCCAAACCAGCTTCAGCTTACGCTCTCAGAAAATCCAATTTGCTTTCATTATCAGCTACGAATTTTTGCATATGCTGCAACATTTGCTGCTCATACTCAAATACCCTGGACATCGCATGTATGGACGAATAGAACTCGGCGGAGGCGCCACACCAGGCCACGCATGCCAGCACAGCCAGCAGCGCTCCGAGCTTACTTTCTGCGCCCAGGAATAACATTTTAGCAGTGTTTCTGCTCTCGGCCACGACTCGCGGTCAACTGAGTTTGCCAATTGACCGCCTGTTGTTGACTCGATCGATGACTTATGCATGGTCATGGTTTCTATATCTTACATAATTTCTAAGAGTCTCAGCGTTATTTTCAGCCGCTTTTAACTAATTAAGCAAAACCTGTTTGTGCTTATGTTAAACGTAAAGAAAGCTCTGGGTTCATTGTGCCCCCTAACTGGTTTTGAATCTAATATATAGACGGCTTCTAATGCTAGATACTAGATGATTTTTCAGTGGATCTTATCACATAAGTCACATAAGTAAAGACACGCATCCTTTGATCCTTTCTTAATTGTTCTGTTTAGTTCAAATTATACCCTAGACCCATTAAAGTGTATACAAATATAATAAATAAAGTTATGCACATGTATTCAAAATCTACTTCAACAGCCGAGTTCATGTCTAAGAGCAAATGCCATACGTTGTTCAAGTATTTAAATTATCGGTTAATAGCCCAATTTTTCTACAAGCAATAAATTTCGATTTCCACTGTCTACTTTTAGAGTACATACATATATTGGGGATTATAAGAGCTATTGACATCAAGAAGAAACAGATCTGTTTACGCTCTCTGCAAGTGTGTTATGATGTGTGTGTGTGTGTGTGTGTGTGGGTGTTGTCCCAATTGGAGAACTCTTAGTAGTATCTTACGTTTCATGCAGAAAATTTCAGGTGTTACTCAACTTAATTGAACTAATTGCTCTTAAGGTGTTCTGCCAGGGAATGAAACTGAAAATAATGACAGGCAACTGTGTAAATGTTTGCTAACATTTCTACAGAATCAGTTAAGTAGCTACCTCTATTTTCAACAATTGAAAGGCAGACAGTAACAATTGGAAAGTAGTGTAGTCAACATGTTTCGAGTGAGTGCGGTTCTGTTGACGTTCGGATTGGGATGTTTGAGTTGGGGCAGCACTTTTGCCGGATACGCTGAATCCGAGAACGGAATGCAAGGTTTGCTCGAAGTGGAGGAAATTTTAGTAAAACAATTTGAATTGTATTTGGACAAAGCGGAGCAGGAGCGAGACAGTATTATGAGGTGGGTGCGAAAAAGACTTCTACGCAGAAAATATAGTTTCATGCCAAATATGACGTTTAGATTTTTGGACTATGTGAATCACTTGCATAAGGATATGGACGAGCCAGAGGATTACTTTGGTAATCCACTCAATGCCTACACGATCATTAGCCGCTTCGCAAACAACTGGCAACATGAGATCTTTGATGTAGTGTTGGCCCACGAAAGCTTTACGGAGTTCAAACAACGTTTAGCCAACGAGCTGGGTAAGCACGAGCTTGAGGAGCCGACAAGTGAGGATCTCCTAAGCGCCACACGTGATCTATTGGATATGCAGGAGATCGACGGCCGGGCCACGTCGGAGCTGGCAAATGACGTCATCTTCGCAGATGAAGATCGAGGCGAGAATGTGACACTTAGCGCCAGCGATTGCTACGTCATCGGACGCCATCTCTGTCAGGAGCATCAATACGACGATGCCACCGAGTGGCTACTGCAGGCGCGACATCACGCCTCCCACGATGCGTCAACATTTCCCAATGTCAGCCAGCTGCAGATTCTGGAACACTTGGCCCCGGCACTCCAGGAGCTGGGCAACAACAAGCTGGCGAACAAGCTAAACAATGATATTCTAAAGTCTAATCCCACTCATGAGGCAGCTCTCAAGAATAAAATTGCGCTACAGAAGAAACTGGCGCTCGAGCGGATCCATATCGCAAACCTGAAAGTAGATCTATAAATGATGGAAGAGCAACAATTTATGGTAATAAGTTGCAGTAATAAATCTTATATGTGACACGTTAAAAATATTGTTGCACATGATTTTAAAATTAAATTAAATTCCTAACAATATGAATGGTAATGCTTTAATATACCATACAGGGAGATAACCCGTGCTCAGGTCTCTTTTGCTTTAACATTTATGCTTATCTACATATGTAAAACCTGTTTTCCTCAATTACTGACTGACTGACTGTCTGGTGATCAACGCACAACCCAAACTGTAGCAGGTATGAAGCTAAAATTGTTATTGTTGCTACCCTATATGCTGAAGCACCACGCGAAACCGAGGTTTTGGGAAATTTCACCCGCAAGTGTCGGAAAAGCGCGGAAAACGAAGGCGTGCAACTTTATTGTTTGCCATCCAATCGGCCAAAAACTCCTTTGCATAGATCTTTGCTTAAAATAATTTAAGAGTTGTCTCACACGTTTTGGGCAATCCACTCCTCATTGGTGGAAATGGTGGTCTTCATGATAATTCCTTTGAGACGTGTTTCATACTTTGCGCAAAATCCACACTTTTCGGATGCAAAGTACTGGTCAATGGTTGTATAAACGAATATATGTATATCCATTTGCTTCTACGTTTTTTTAACAGTTCGATAGACTTTAAGCGTATTTTCCAATATCTATGTCGAAATATAACTTTAGACGTGACGTTTAAGATAGTAAGGGTAGATGTAAATTTTCCATGGGCGGAAAATAGATGAAAAAATTATCCCTAAAATTCGAAGCAAAATACTTGAACAAGGCAAGTCCCGCAAAAATTAAATGTGTAAACATTGAACAGAATGCAAAGGTAACTAAAAGCAATGGCAAATAATTTTGTAAATATGGCTGCAAGGAAGAAGGCGTCTTTAGCCAGTTCTCAATCGCACACTGCGACGACATGATTTCTTAGTTAAAGCTACTAACGTCTGTATTTACCAATGGATACCATAATAAAGATAATTATCGAAAAGTCAATACATATGAAAGCTACTTATGCAAATGCATTTGTACTTTGATGTGATAAATGGACGTTGATGAAGTGGAAGCTGAAAGGACAATAACTAGACTGATTGTACAAATGAAAAGCCAGCTCAAACCATCGCAATTGACAATATTTCCTGCGAAATCCATTAAAGCAGGCTTGAATCATATTCAATGCCAGCAACTGAGTTTGTTCATAAGTAAGTGATGTCTTGACAACAGCTTCAACTTACAAGGACAAAGCATATTAAAGCGTGTAATTTCTTGTTATTTGATAGTTTGCATCAACATATATTTCAAACGTGACAATAATTATATCAATATTTGCTTACCTGTTAAAAATCTGATATGACTACAATAACTAAAAGTTTAAGTTGAAAGCAAAAATTTAAAAGTATTCGTGCAAATGAATAGCAAATTAAACTTTTACAATTAGTCTTAAATTAAAAAGTAAACTGTTTTTTTTGTTAATATGAGTCCATCCATCCATTGCATCGAAGTATATTAAATCCCGTTTTGTTAAATTTAAGCTACATTGAAAGACGTGGAAAATGTTGCATATTTAATTTTTGAAATTAATTGTATTCCTCTTAGTTAGATGTTCCATAGATATATTCCAAAAATACACAAAATAAAAGCAACTGTTTAAATATTTACGAAGCTAATGTGCATACTTTCTCATTTTCACAAAAAAAAACAAATGTTAGAATGTCGAGCGAGAGTGCCCGACTTTCAGATACTCATACCGAGCTGCCGGAACAAACATTCTAGCTTCTTTATATAAGTACACTTACGGGTATTTCCAGTTAGTTCCGTTAGTCTTGTGTTTAAAATTTAGGTACAATAAAAGACTTTCGTTCATTTAACCTATGACCCGTATTTTTTTATCCAAGAGAGGTGGATTTAACGAAAAGTGTGAAACACATATTAAATGAATTTTCAGAAAGATTTTTAAGAATAGCTTCCATACAACAAAATCCGCCTATTTACCACAGTTGCGGGTGGAATTTTCAAAATCGCTGTAACGCGTATCCATGAAGTTTTAATAAAAGGGATTTGAACATGGCCTTAAAGCCAATTGGACAAAACTTTAAACTAACCTTAAAAAATCTGTGAATCCCATTTTCCACTGAAGAATCTTGGTTTCTAAGGAAAATGTGAATCACGTATCAAATGAATTTGAATAAAGGTTATTGGATATAAATTTGAGCTGGAAATATTACCCACTAAATCCTTAAAACCCATTTCATACATGACTCTTGCTCCTTCGAGACATGCTAAAACAACTAAAATAGACTAAATTCTGGTTATTTTGAAATAAACTTAATCTACGAAAAAATACCAACTCTTTAGCTCTAATCAGATATGCACAGACGAATGGAAGGACACACGTACGGACATTCAGACATGGCTAGATCGAATCAGCTGTTGATGCTGATGAAGAATATATATTCTTGATGCTGTCGGAGAAGCCTCCTTCTGCCTGTTACATACATATGCGCATAAACTTTATACCCTTTACACATCTAAGGGATTCAAGGTAAGTATAACAAAAGTATGATAGTAAGCAGGGCTCAGGAACTCACTGAAGAACTGCAGTTTAAGATGTTGCCACAAGTGAAAATACCCAGCGGGGCAAAAGCAGCTTTAGTCGCATTAAATAACAGCTGCAGAATATCAGAAGACTTGGCACAGCAAATGACTTGGGGTGTTGGGGCCTTACCGGGACTTGTTAAGGAAAGAAACTAACTGAGTAAATTGTGCAAACTAGATTATGGCTGAAAAGGGAAGTATTCGCCTACCCCTTAAGCTTTTCTATGCAAGTTTAAGGGAAAGATGTACAGCTGAATACATTTGAGTTTCCAACTACATGTATAAATATTTAAATCTGCAATAAACAACAGATGTAAACAAAGAAAAGGAGAATAACTTATCTTTCAAGCGATTGCTTGCGGGGCTTTGTAAGTAGCAAGAATGAAGCATATTTAAGAAGAAAAAAAGAAAAATTGAAAGAAGACAGTTCAAAAGACAGGTTACCTTCCTTCACCTCTCTCATAAGCGGGCAAAGATTCAGAGTTTCAGTTTAGCCACAGCTGCCAAGCGGTTTGGTCGTCAATGGGCAGACAGAAGTTTTAGCAAAGAATAATAAATATTTAAGAGCTAGCCCTGAACTTGGGCCACAAGCAAAATCAAAAGAGAATAAAGTATTGGCCAGCCATTGACCCGGACAAGAATAAAAACATTTATATAAAGAGAAAAAAACAACATAAACCACGCAATTATGCAAATGCCGGCAGCAGTCCGATTGCTGTGGCTGCTTTGGCTAGCTTTAATGTGGCCAAGAGCAGCTGCGAGTGGCAGCAGTGAGGAGCACTTGCGTGAGCTGCTGACCACAGAAACCCTGCTCATCGATGCGCTGCGAGATTATATAGATGCACTGGATAAACAGTTGGTGGTAATTAAGAGCGAAACTGCGGCTATAGAGCAGATACATCAGCTGGTGGGCAGCCGGGTGGAGCAGCATATGGGCAATCCACTAAATGTTCTCACCATACTGAAGCGCTTCCAGAGCGTCTGGCCGCTGCTCGAGCAGCAAGCGAATGCCACGCATAATCTGGCCAACAATTTGCCAGATTATGAGATGGACTTGCCGCTGCCCAGCGAGGAGGAGTACGAGACAGCGCTGTTAAATCTGCTGCGCCTGCAATCGGTCTATGACCTGAAGCCGGCCACTCTCTCCCTGGGCATAGTACATGGCCTTAAGCTGGGGTGAGTGTGCAAACAAATGCAAAACACAATTTTAAGTTCGCTTCGATTTTTACAGCTCGGCCATGAGCTGGAGCGACTGTCTCGAGATGGCGCGTAATTCGGATCGAAACGGCGACTACGCCGTGGCCAAGTATTGGCTGGAGACGGCGCTGGGAAAACTGCCAGCTGAGAACAATGCGACAAGCTCGGTCAGTGAGCAGGAGCGCGGCAAAGTCCAGATACTGGAGGCATCTCTCAATATGGATTATCGCGCAGGTCTGTTCCATTGAAACTCATAAAACTTTACTTTATTTGCACGAATTTCCCAACAAGAACAGGTGAGTTTTTCAACGCACTCACAACGGCCAAAGAGCTGCTGCTCCTGCGTCCCGCCAGCCAAAATGTGAGAAAAGCGAAGGCCAAGATTGAACGAGCCATAAATGGGAGTCCAGCGAAATTTCTGCCAACCAAGAAGTCCAGGGCAAAGGTAAAATCAACAAATGCAAATATTTTGCAACATCCAATGAATAAGCCGAATTAAAAACCACTTAATTATACACGGGTTGAGTGTAGTCGACGTACAGATGCCCTAAAGTTAGCTCAACATAAAAGCAGCAGTTTCTACATATATATCAGGGCTACAAAATCAAATTTTTTAGTATAATTCCACAGTGTAGCCTAGCAAAACAACATCTGAATCCAAACGTGAGCCCTATCTTTTTCCAAAATGATTTGGTTCAAAATAAACCTTTGCGGGATAGTCTGGCTTAAGGCCTAATTAACAAATTGTATTGTCAATTTTGAGTAGAAATCGAATTTATCCCATCACTCATATATGAAAATATTTTTAATCGAACGGGAAAGTTTAACTAAATTTGAACGTAATCTGGGTTCATCGATATAGAAAACTAGCTTTACTAACTGAGCCATAAAATGAGGTTTTTCTTTGGCTTGCAACCCCGATCTATATTAATACATATATTCAAAATGTGTGTGCAACTTTCCGACTTTTGACATTCCACTTTACCTACTATAATAGGCAGATCAGAAAGGGAATTTACTGCAGATTAGTTAGCTCCAGATCTTGCTTTAAATTTTCAATTATTTGCTCACAATTTAATACAGATCTTTCTTACGTCCCTCTCAAGCTTACGAAATCCGTTGAGCAGCTGATTGTTGACGAGCTCTGTCGTTCGGCCACGCAACAGCCCATAACAGGCAGCCGCTTCACGGAGTGTCGCCAAGATATATCAAATCTGCGCATGCTACGCCTGGAGCAACTTAGTGAGGATCCTCTTATCGTGCTGTATCATGATGTGCTCAGCTCGCAGCAGACTGACCGGCTAATTAGTATGCTGGATGATGTGCCGCGACTGCAACAGTCAAAGAGCGCCGCCTTTGAGCCGCTTAAATTCACTAATCTGGCGCAGAAAAGGATGCGTGGCATTCATAATCAACTGGGCATGGCCGGAGCTGAGCCAGAGCTGTGGCAGGCACGTCGTCATAGTCACGAGCACGTGACGCAACCAGAGGAGCCAGCAAGCACATCGGGGCATGTGGCACGTGCGCTGCTCAATGTGCGTCATTGTAATTAAATGATTACTTAATATATCACTAATTGGTCCATTATCATCTTACCCCAACCCTCAGCTTCAAGAGGCCAGGTTGGGCGGCGCCGTTGTCTTTCCCCAGTTGGAGCTCAGCGTCTGTGTCCCACGGGGCTCGCTGCTCTACTGGAGCGTACGCAGCGTAAGCGAGTTTCAAGCTACGTCCAGATCGGATTACCGTAGTCGCCAGCTTGTCTGTCCGGTGCTCCTGGGCACGCAATTATGTAAGTAGAGCACATGTGCCTCCTAAGTGAACTCTACAAATCCCATTGCATTTTGCAGCGGCTTGGACGGAGCTCAGTTAAAGCCTGTCAGGCGTTCTTTCAGAGGTTGAAATTATGACTGCATGATTTGCCTTTTAATCAATCGAAAATAATGGCTGAAATGTTGACAAATTTATAGAATTACATTTGCACTCTCATCTGACATTAAATGGGCATTTCACTGGCGTCGCCTTTTGACTAATTAAAGAGCAAACAAACAACATTTAAATATTTATGCATCACAGCATGTCATAATTAACATTCGAGCTGAGTTCTGGTCGGCTTTTGGCCAAATGCCTTTTGCCAAAGGGGCAGCAGGAAATAGTTAAAGTCAATATTAAAAGTCCAAGCAAACATGTTAAGCCGAATTTTGAGCATTGGATACATCTGTGTAAATCAAATGTCAATTAACACAAACAAAAGCACTTATATTAAACTTTACTTGCTGGTTAATAAATGCAATATAATAAAGTGAAGAAAATAGCTCAAAAAGATACCCTGTACTTTTGAAATACTATTAATTATTAAAATATATATTTAATAACCGATACAAATTAATTAAAGTTTAATAAATACAATTTTTGTGCTAAAATGTATTTTTATTTATTATTTTTAATTTCTGAATAATAGTATTTACCATAACAAAGCAATTTCTAAGAATAACTTAGCCAATAAATTTTGCAAACAAATACAGGGTACAATTCTGTGTTGTTGTCGTCATCAGAGCGGCGCTTTCCAACACTAGCGCGTCAATAGCAAGAGCAGCGACTGCATTATTAAATATCAAACAACGCGTTCTTAATTAGCCAGAATTAATAAGCCATCGAATAAGGCGACAATATGCCGCGACAGTGGCGAGTAGAGAGAACTAGAACTCGGGGCAGGTCCACGCCGAAAACGAGCTAATGATAAGCATCACTAAATCAGCTTTGGCAAAGCCATAAAACATGCTTAATCGCGACGAAACTCGTATGCTCTTCATTAGAGTGGCTCATAATGCCGATATCTATTTTTCATAGCCATCGACATAGACTTCCAGTTAGACATAGGCACACATCAATTGGTTATGCAAATACTGTAGCATGTAGTTAGCACCTGGTCGTGGGTATCCGAACTCCTAATCGCGTGTGCCAAAATGTCTGTCGTCACTGGCTTTATTCACAGATCTCTCATGGGGATGTTCGGTCCGAGCTGCGGCACCGGCTTCAGTTTATTGCGAGACGCGACGCACTGCAGACGCCTAAAATAGTTTTAGCTGCTATATCCATATAAAGTATACTATATATACATACGTATATCTGGAAGTTAAGATGCGGGTTAATACGGGACTGCTGGCACTATTGATGCTGGCCGGAATGATCTGTGGCCAGGCTACGGATTACTTCTCATCCATTACTGGACTGGAGCAGTTGCTGCACACGGAGCACACTTTGATGAACGATTTAAGTTCACAGCTGAGTGCGACCCGAAATGCATTAAAGCAGTTGGAAAGGTGAAAATATAAGGTCAACAGTTTAAATGGCGTAGTTTAAGTATATGCATCGAATAAACGTCATAAAAAAATAATTTATGCTCGTTCATAAAATTAAATTTTATTTGATATATTTTACAAATGAGGCGGTTTTAATATTGAAAGTTGCACAGATAAATGTTATCTAAATGTCATCTTTAAATGTCATTTCCAATTGGTCTTTTATTATTCAATAATAATAAATTTGCATATGCTATTGTATACTATAATAAATCCACCTAGAATTTTCCGCTTAAGCAACTATTTTCAAGTTCTTACAGTTTCACATTTAGCATTTTGCTTTTTTTTTATTTATTTTTTTTTTTATTTTTGCTTTCGTTTGCATTTTATGGGTTTGATCGTAAAAAAAAGTTTTGTGTTTAGAATCACGTAGAATCGCAAATAAATTAGAATTAATTAAGTCCAGCTGTCTTGGCGCTGGGCTTCTTATGTCTATGACGACAAAGCCCACAAAACGTCCAAACTGGTAGCTATCGATTTATGATTAGAGTTATAAACTCGTCTAAACCAAAATCCGCAACCTGATCCACAGAGAGCTGTCGTCTATAAAGGTGGAACATGCACTGGCTGCTAGAGGCTTGGAGAACTATCTGACCAATCCGGTCAATATTTATCGTCTGATGAAGCGTCTTCACACGGACTGGCAACAATTGGAGAATCGGGTCCAGCAAATGAGCGCACAACTACGTAGGTATTCAACATTTTTCTCAGTGTAATTATGTCAAAGAAAACTTGAATTCAATATTTTAGGTTTCAACATTACCCAGCACTATGGCCTTAACTTTCCCAGTCAGGAGGATGTGGAAGGCGCCGCACTGGCATTAGTTCGCCTGCAGAGCACCTATAAATTGGATGTGGCCCAAGTGGCCGCTGGCATTCTGAATGGCATCAAATACGGGTGAGCGGCTGAGGGATGCAACCCAAATAAGCAATAACCAGTCAAGCTTAAAATACATGAGTACTACATAAACATAATACACATACTATTCAACACTGGTCAGGAGCGGATTTGCGCTGTTGAGGGTGAGGCGCCCCGGGGCAAAATATTCAATATCATAGATATTTAATCATGCGGACTCGTGCATAATACCAGTCTCGTCTTTGAGCTAGACGGTCATTGTTCTCTGCAGATTATCATCGAGCCCCCCTTTCCACATTTCCCAATCCGCACCTGCACAGGTTGTTGTTGTAGTTGTGTGGCGTTGTTTGTCGTGTGTTGTGTGTCGTGTGTCGTTACCTAAGCACCAATCATATTCATTTCGATTTTCGTGTTGCCCTTATTTTTAGCACGGACATGAGCTGGCAGGATTGCTTTGTGCTGGGTCAACAACTCTTTGAAATGGAGGACTACAACAACACGAAAGTATGGCTGCGCGAGTCCATGGAGCGATTGCGACGCCATCAGCCGCAGCCCAGCGCCCCAGAGCCCGCCCTGCTAAATAACATGGAAATGGTGGCGCAGAATTTATTCCGTATGGGTGAGCAGTCCGCTAAGCCATCGGCCAACTTTATGCATATTTACCAAGCGATTTTTAGGCGACTTTGACACGGCATACGAACTGAGTCAGCGTGTGCTCGAGCTGGATCCATCGCGCATACGGAATTGGCATCTGGGTGACAAGGCCGCCAAGCTGACGCACGGCGAGAGCGAGGATGAGGTGCAGCCGAGGCAACCAGATGCGTACAGGGTGAGTCCTGCCACACGATTCATCTATGTAGTTTATGACTAATTTTGGACTCTGGCCCGCAGCTAACCGAGGAGTTCGCCCACTACGAGAAGGTGTGCCGCGGCGAGGTTGGCGCCTCTGCTGCCCAGCAGCGGCCTTTGCGCTGTCGCTATACGCGGGGTGAGCATGCCTATCGGCTGCTTGCACCGATCAAGCTGGAGGAGCACAGCCTAGACCCGCTGGTGGTCACCTTTCACGACATGCTGAGCCAGCAAAGAATCGCCGAGCTTCGAGAAATGGCTGTGCCGCACATGCAGCGTTCCACAGTTAATCCCCTGCCCGGTGGCCAACGGCGAAAATCTGCGTTCCGCGTGAGCAAAAACGCGTGGCTGCCGTACAGCAAGCACCCAACGATGGGGCGCATGTTGCGTGATGTGAGCGATGCCACCGGCCTGGATATGACCTACTGCGAGCAGCTGCAGGTGGCCAATTATGGCGTTGGCGGTCACTACGAGCCTCACTGGGACTTCTTCCGCGATTCGCGGCACTATCCAGCCGCAGAGGGCAACCGCATCGCCACGGCCATATTTTATGTGAGTTAAACCACACTGAGTCCGCCTCATGCGCAAAAATTAACTTTCGTGCCACGCCATGCAGCTCTCGGATGTGGAGCAGGGTGGCGCCACAGCCTTCCCCTTTCTAAACTTCGCCGTGCGTCCGCAGCTAGGCAACATTTTGTTTTGGTACAATTTGCATCGCTCCTCGGACATGGACTTTCGCACCAAGCACGCGGGCTGTCCGGTGCTAAAGGGCAGCAAGTGGAGTAAGTATTTTGCCAAAGCTAACAACTCGTTTCTCATGTCACAATTTGCATCAATATTGACCTTTCGAAAAGTTATAATTGCTTGCTTCAATTATAATCCATAGTCATAATTCTCATATTATTAAAAATTTAGCACATTTTGTTTGATACAAATTATATTGGCAAACTTGTGTATAGAGATCAAAAATTCAAATGTAATTTAATTGGTTTTCCTGGCGTATAGAATGAACATTTGTGTGTGTATGCTCCGAATTATCAATATTAAATATATTTTTGACAAGCAAGATGTAAGAATGTGGATGTCGGCTACAACCGACTGTGCAACACTCTGTTCATACTTTTAGCAACAGCTGGACATCAGTCTTTCTGATATTAAATATTTATAGTCATTAGTGTCTTCAAAACTGTAACTCTAAAGCAGTGGCTCTAAAACGGTTTGGCTCAATTCTTAGGACAGATTTTCAGGGATAAATATCGCTTCAGTTGTGCCAACAAACAAAATGTATTTCTTCAAACAGATGGACGGATAATTAGACAAACATGGTACAAAACCAATATGCTCGTTTCCACTTTGTGAACAGAGTATAAAATATAAAGGAGGTATTTTAAAAGACAAATCATTTGCATGTCTTTGTCTTTACTTAAAATATAACAATGCTTGTTTAAATTACACAGAACTAAAGATTAAATTTAATATAATAGCATTTAAGGAGTGTCACAAAATGGTTGGGATGGGGGGAGGTGCCTTTACAGCAACAGAAAGAGTGTGCTTTGTTAGACTGAACCATTTTTAAAATTAATTAAATCGATTTATGCTTCTATATATTCTATACTTTTTTAACAGCTTCTTGTTATTATTTTTAAATTTCCATACCTCACAGTCGCCAACATTTGGATACATGAGGCTACACAGACATTTGCTCGACCCTGTGATGTATTTCGGGACAATGGAGTTTCCCTAGGCTATGATATTATTAAATAAACTAGTTGCGGATTTGTAAAGGATTATGTTTTATTTGACTTTTTATTTGAGCTAATTTACAGCTCAAAAAAAGACTCGGTTAGTAAAATCTAAAATAATATTATTTAAAATAAAAACCCCATCACTCGAATATTATCACAAACGGCTGGCAATGTATTTCTAGGGTTAACTAGCTAAAAAAATAAAACTCAATTTTGAGTGTTTTTGCGTCAAAACAAAGCGTGAGCTGAAGCTTGAATTGAGCGCGGATTTGCCGGCAATTTGCATAAACAAGATCACGGGCAAAGTCTTAGCAGCTCATTTGCATGTTAGGGGCATAGAACGAGAAAATGACAACTCTCTGAGTTAGCAGCCAAGTGAAAGTAATTAGCGAAGAGAAAATTTGTGACAATATTAAACAGTAGACTAGGCAGCCCAAAAGATGATCTCTCAGCGTGTTTGACGGTTAATTAAATAGCTGGGAGCCTATGTAAAGTGATTGCTGGCAACACTTTGGGTTTATTGAACCCGAGCACTCTTTTATTACCTGTTGGCCGGCTCCATTCAGGCCTGACGGTGGGGCCTCGAGGGCAGTTCTTTGACCACAGCCACAAATACCGGCCAAAATGACCAACAGCTGCGGCTACTAAAGCTTAGCCAAACGCCAACGCTGCGAGCTTTTGCTAGACTGAAGATCCGCGGAGACTGTTTGTTAATTTGTCAGCAGATCGAGCCCGAGCAGTTCTTCACGAAGCGCCGCAAAGACAGCACGAGCTCTGAGACTCACGACTATTTGAATTTTAAGATTGAAATTTTCTCTAATCGGACCAATTGTAATGAAGCTTTCGGCAGCTTTTGGAATTTTATTACTTGGGCTACAAGTCCTGGCCTCCAATGGCGAGTTTTTTAGCTCGACCAGCGGCCTGGAACAGCTGCTGCGCACGGAGGTCATGCTGATGATAGAGCTCCAGAAATATGTCAACGAAATAAGGCAACATGCTGATATATTACAGGGGTAAGTTCTCACCATTCATAGCCAAGAAAAAGACATTAGACTGACATAACTTTATTTGAGTAGTCTTTTTTATAGTCCTATCAATAAAGTCTGCCCGGGCAGCTAATGGCATATTAAGTAAGTGGGCTCTGCTTCAGTGATTCAGAGTTCTGTGACCAGCTAGAATCTGGTTTTAAGTGTTGAATTTATTTGCACTTTGATTTGATTTAGATGATTTATGCTGATTTCATTATGTGTACAGCTCGATTAAAGTTCCGAGACTAAAATTTCTTCTGCAACGCGACCAGCTTTCAAGTTCTCGCTTGCAGTAGACATTCGCTACTTGCTTGACTTTATGAATACTTAAAAATTAATAAATAAATAATCAAATGTTGTATGCCCACGTACCGCATTGAAGAGACAGCCCACACGAATTGTTTGTTTAATATTTATATTCTTGCCGATCAAAACAAACTGTTGGGCATTTGTGAACGGCCTGTTTTCTGTTGAATATTGAATGTTGAATGTTGAGCCTCAGTGGCATCTGAAAGTAACTTTTGTTAGCCGAGCTTTGGGTATCTTTTTGCTGAACAATTTTAATTTTTTATTTCTTTTTTATTATTTAATTACACTTCATTTGCGCATTCCCACTTAACCGGTTCACATTAAGGCGTCTGAATTGTGTGGTCTGGCCTACGGGTAAAAGTACACAGATGCACGGATGTACATACATATGTATGTATTAATTTAAATATATATACTATTTATTCCCTGACTGCTTTTTGTCATCTGCTGCTTTATATACATTTGTTAATATTTTTAAAGCTGCACGCATTTGATGCGTTTTATTCAATTTATAAGCTGCTAATATCTCTAGCCGCTTACCTTATTTACACTTGGTTGACTTTTCGGCATTTGTTTGATGTTTTGAATTTATTATCTATTTATTATCTATTGCCATCGATTGCTACCTCAGCAAGGCGCAGTCGCTGCTGTTTTTTTGTGTAGATAATTGTTTATTCTATTGCTCAGTCATAAGTGTCAGCGACTTGTCAGCCTTTTGTATATGTATCAAATTTATCCCCAATATCTGCAGAATTCACTTTTATTCTTTTGTTTGTTCGTTGTATTTGCAAACCGGCTTTATAATGCAAAAATTAGTACAGAAGAAGCACCGTTAAGCAATTTTAGAATAATAAAGTATAATATAGTCTAATATATATAAAATTTGATACCCCATTGAAATGAAATTTCATTTGTATCTCATGCGCAACAGATAAACAGGTTCAAGTTCCGTTTACAGCATGATATAGCTTTGCAATTTGTAGAACATATTTTTTAATAGAGAAATGTTTTGGAAACAAAAAACATTTGTTATTTATGGCTCTGGGGTGCTAAGAACAAACGAGTGCTACCACTACTTCTTAATGAATAGCCCCATAAAATGCGGATACCCCAACTAGTTGACAGATGCTGCGGCATTGCCGTTTAAAGTTATGGTGACATTTAATTCCCGATTAATGAACGCCAGCCAAAAAAAAAAGGGGGTTGGAAAAGGAAGAAGTGTGCAAACAGACAAGCGTTAAAACCAATTCATTATTTATTGAAAGCGGGCGCCGCGTATAACTAAATTTTATTTTATTCCCGCAACAGGTATTATCACTTTGCAACAATACATGCAACACAGCTAAGCTTAATCCCATTAATTAAAATGTATTGTATTTTGATCAAGATAGTTTGATTGTCTGTTTTAAAGCAAAATTTGTTGGTGGGCAATAACTGATAACTTAGAGAGAAATTCTGGCAATCGAACATTCTCTTGTGAAAGGTGTGATGAATTCTAGTGATAAATCAAACGGGTTGTCAGATTTTTCCATTTTGGTAATAAAAAATAGAAAGCACTCAAAATTATTTTATTTTATTTTAAATAAAAGTACATACCCGAGAGCAGATTTACTTTATATTCCTTTTTATACATAGATATGTCTGTAAATACTTGTGTACTTACCCAAAAAGTCACATACACACGCATTGCCATCTATCTGTGGAAGGGCGACAGACTGTTTTGTGTGCACAACACAAAAGAACAAAAGAAGTACAGATATTGGATATTGTGAGAGAAGGAGGAAGAGCTAGAGAGGGAAAGACAGACAGAAATATTGCACAAGAGGATTAATTAAATTGAGTGTGAGCAGAATAAAGTTAATTAGATTGCCAACGCAACTTGTGAATATAATACTCACAATCAAAGCATGAATTCATGAGAATCGCATAGTAGGGCAATATTAAAAAAAATACGTTTTAATTTGCAGCGAACTTGGCAATAAAGCTTAAGAGAACGCACATTCACGCAAACATACATAAGCATAATATACTTTTTTATGTAGAGTTTTCAACAAAAGTTCAAAGTGCACGCAACGGGAACTTTTCTGATATAATAACCTTGGACACACATTTTCCCCTATGGATTGAATTTTGCAATAAATGCGAGACATGTTACAGTTTGAGAGTCAGTGCCTACAGTCTTAAAGTCACAAGCTCATCCGTTCCGACCATTTTAAAACGGTCAATTAGAGTATTGCGGGTTCTGTTGTACCCTGCTGCATATTATTATTATTATTTTTAGTTGTTTTATTAAGTTTTGATTAATCGAAAAGTGTCACTGTATTAAAGTGCTTATAGATTGGCTGTCATGCACAACCGTCACACTTAAATGTCTCCAAGCACAACAAATGTGTTTAGCATGCAAATTTGCGATTATGCAAATTATAAAATATGAAACAATTTAAGGTCTGATTAATGCTTAACACACCGGCTATGCAAAGCCCAAAAGGAATTTCATGAATTTCATAATTCCCATTCGTGTTGCAGCGAAATAGATGCGATTAAATCGGAGCATCTGAGCGCCGCGAATAGCGTCGAGGGATATCTGAACAATCCGGTGAATGCGTTCCGATTGATAAAGCGCCTGCACAGCGACTGGGAGACCTTTGAGAGCACCGTGGAGCGGGAGCCGAGCCGCACAAGTTGGTATCAGATTCGGGCATCAATCATGTGTCCCAGCAAAGATGCTATCATTATCTGACTAGCCCGCTTTCTATTTGTCGTTGTTCCCCTGCTGCTCCTTCTCCTTTAACCGTGCGGACACTTACACAATAGACTTCCTGGGAGCGATGGCGGGCCACAGAGAGAACTTGAGCTTCCCCACACAGGAGGACTTTGTGGGCACGGCCCTGGCAATGACGCGACTGCAGCAAACCTACCAACTGGACGTGGGCGAGCTAGCGAGTGGCATGCTGAATGGCATCAAATACGGGTGAGTGACGCCGGCCATGGACGTGGCAAGTGGCAATCACAAATCACACTCGACAGCTCGTTACAGTGCGGCGATGTCGTGGCAGGATTGCTTTGTGCTTGGCCAGCATCTGTACTCAATGCGGGACTTCAACAATACGGTGCCCTGGATGCAGCAATCGATGCAGCTGTTGGTAAAGCAGAGCTACAGCAAGGATTCCGAAGCATTGGATTTCATGGAAACGGTCATGGGTTACCACGAGTCGATGGGTGACTACGAGAATGCACTACATCTGATCAATCATGTGCTGGCCGTGCAGCCGGATCAGCGTCTGCATCTGCTTGAGACACGCGCCCATCTCGAGCAGCTTATTTCGGACGGCGTCAAGCGCGGCCTAATGCATGAGGTGGCGCGCAGTCCGGATGACTACCACATCAGCCGCGAGTATCGTGTCTATCAACAGGTCTGTCGTGAGGAGTTGAGGCCAGCGCCTGCAGCGCAGCGGTACTTACGCTGCCGCCTCTTTGCCGGTAACGGGCGCAAGTCCAGCTATGTGCCCTACAAATTGGAGGAACTGCATCTGGATCCGTACATCATACAGGTGCACGACGTCATCAGCGCTAGGGACACCGCTGAGCTGCAGCATTTGGCTCGGCCGGAGCTACAGCGTTCACAGGTTTATAGCCGCACCGGCCACGAGCACATCTCAGCCAACTTTCGCACAAGCCAAGGCACCACCTTTGAGTATACCGAACATCCAATCATGCAAAAGATGAGCCATCACGTGGCTGAGATATCCGGCCTGGATATGCGCTCTGCGGAACAGCTGCAAATTGCCAACTACGGCATTGGCGGTCACTATGAGCCGCACATGGACAGCTTTCCCGATTCCTATGACTACAGCTTGAACATGTACAAAACCAACCGCCTGGCCACGGGCATCTACTATGTAAGTGCTCCACATGTAATCTTCTAGGCACTATCAAATATATCTCTTGTCTTCTTAGTTATCTAATGTAGAAGCGGGCGGTGGTACCGCCTTTCCCTTTCTGCCACTCCTTGTCACACCTGAACGGGGTAGCCTGCTCTTCTGGTACAATCTACATCGCTCCGGCGATCCAGACTATCGCACCAAGCATGCTGCCTGCCCGGTGCTGCAGGGCAGCAAATGGAGTAAGTTGAAACTAATGTGCAAAGTCTCGTAAGCTCTAATCAAGAATCATCTCTGTCTATCCAGTTGCCAATGTTTGGATACGTTTGAGCAATCAAGATCAAGTAAGACCCTGTGAACTGCAACGTGATCACGAGATCTCCTTACCCTACATGGACTTCAAGTAACAATTATTAATTTAAAATTTAATTTAGTTTGTTTGCCATTTTTTATAAGTACCAATCAGATTATTGACTTGACACACATCAAACTTAATAACTACATTTTTTGTAACGAAAATGATGAAATTAATATTGCATAAGCTTTTAAAGAGTATTCAAATAACATGCAAGCTTTTAGTCAGATCTAATGAATTGTAAAGCACATGAAAGATCTTAGCCAGATCTACTGCGTTAACCACATAAATTGAATATAAAGAAATTGATTATTATTTATTTCTGAAAATATGAGATTATTGTATAAATATCTTAAGAGTTACAAAGCACAAATTTAATATTATTGCATAAGCTTCTAAAGCATACTAAAGCTTTTAGGCAAATCTATTGTGTTAAAATATAATTTATAAAAATAATTAAGTTCTGATTCTTTTTACTGAGGAGCTTTAAAAGCACATTTAAATAAATGGCATAAATAAATTGGATATTATTTATTTATTTCTGAAAATATGAATTTTGTATATTATGCTAGACCTATTGTCATTCATTCATTATTAGACATTATATCAGCGCCATGTTACTCGTTGGCATTAAGCGTGCAAGGACGACGGAACTCCTGGAGGGTGGAATGAATCCAAATGTTGCCAACTGTAAAATATATATCGATATTTACAAGCTCGGAGGTTTTAGGCCTGTTTCAACTTACTGCGCTTGACGCCCTCAAGAACGGGACAGCCAGCATGTAAGGTGCGGCTATCTTTATTTAGAGATCGGTATAGATTATGCCAGCTAACCATGGCGCCTTTCACGGGCTTCAGAAATACATTTAAATTGGGAAAGACCGTATAGCCGCCATTCAGCACATCCGAAAGCTGAAAAATAGCTGAATTCAATCTTGTTTACAGTTTGCATCCGCTAAAACTCACATAGAACATGTTCGTTGCGATGCGATTGCCTCTTGGTATGTAGCTGTCGGGCATTTTGGACATGTAATCCGTATGCGGCGCATATTGGCCGCCAATGCCGTAATTGGCCACCTGTATTTGTTCGGCATTCTCCATATCGAAACCAGTAACGGCGCCAACTAAATTGCTGACGGAACGCAGGATGGGGCTGCTGTAGTTGAGCCACACCTGTTGGCTAACGCGCACATCCGTCACAATACTGCTGCTCACCGAGGAGCGAATACTGTCGAACTGCTCAGCCACGTCATAGATGGCATCTATCTGGTCATCGTTGATCAGGTCATAGTAGATGTGTATGTCCGGGTCCAGATGGACCTGCTCCACTTTTAGAGGCGCCAGCCTGAAGCGCGCATGGCGCGTGAAATCTAAATAACAATTTAGTGGACTTCCACTTGGCTCTGGCTCTGACAGTCGCTTGCCCTGGCAGAGTCGCGTGTAGTCGTCCAACCAGGGAGCTGGGTCTTGCTCTCTGGGACACTTGGGCATGCTCTGCTGCAAGAAGTTGAGTGTATATTGTGCTGGATGTGGCGAATGTCCCGAATTCCAGGAGAGCATCTCTTCTAACGTTTCCAAACCCTGCTCCCGTTCACACAACTCAATCTGTGTCAAGACCAAATACTCGTAGATCTGTTCAGCCATTTGCTGGACATTTTCGCCGTCGATTTCGTGCAGTAAATTGACCGCTTGCAGCAACCACTGCTGGGAGCTGCTATATTCGGCCAGTTCGTATAGCTGCACGCCAATCTCGAAGCAGTCGCGCCAGAGAAGCACGCTGCCTGTGGGAACGCCATGGAGGATGCCATCGGCCAGCTCGCTGGCTGTTAGATTGTACACACGCTGCAGGCGCAGCAGACCCTTGACTGCGCCCTGCAGCTCCTCTTCGTTTGGTATGCCCACGGCTGTAGAAATTGCATCCACCGTAACGCGAAAGGCTGCATTCAATAAAATCAGAAAATATGTGTATATGTGAATATCATGTTACGCACTTTCTTTGGCCTGATTCGTTATAAGCAGCTTGTGTAGTTCTGGCCAGTCTACGACCAAACGCTTGGTCAGCCTGAAGGCCTGCAGCGGCTGCTCCAAGTACTCCTCGTCCTGCTCCAGCTCTTGCCTGGCAAAAGCATGCTCGCGACTGACACGCTCCACAAAACTATCAATCACAATAACAATCTAGAGCTTCTGCAAACAGTTTTGGTAAAGATCTTGGTACCTGGTCAACACGTTAAGCTGCTGCAGCCGCTCCGTCAAATAGACATACGTGGCAGCTACCAGCTCTTTCTCCACTTGCCCCAAGGCGTTCATGCTGTCAATCGAAGAGTAAAATTCGGCATGGACGAGGAGGCCGATGCTACCAGAGAGCAACAGACACACAGCAATGCAACAGTGCTGACGCAACATTATGGCTTGTGGCTAACACACGACCTGGCCAACGAACTGTTGGCTAATGAACGCATTTCAATAGAACTAGCTAAGCGTTTGTCGATTGTTTGTCTTTCTTTTGCCCCAAATATGTTCAAAACTTCCAACTCCAACTGTCACGTATCCAGAATGGAACAGTTGTGGCTAGGCAAACAACTATTAGACAGTTCCATTCTCTATTTAAACAGCATGCACGAAATGTTTTATTTTTTAATCGAATGGCCAATGCCGTGCAGCTTCTCTCAATTTATGCGGAATGTATTCAATCAGATGCTTCCACTCAGCAGCGCCGTTTGGCGTCCTGTTCCCCTGGCAATGGCCACACGGCTGCACTTTGCTGCCGCGTAAATTTAATTGGCCGCGAGCTCTGCAAAGTATGCAGCATGCAACGCGCAACGTCCAACATGCTGTAAACTCGCGTTTGCCAACCCAGAGCCGATTTATGCACGCACACGCTGGCGCAACCGCACACCCGCACACCCGCACAAGCCGACACACACATACTCGGAACATCAACATGCAAAACAAGTAGCATAGACTCGAGTAATCACTCTAGTCGGGAATGCCCGACTCGGAGATACCAAGCCAGCACCGAGAAAACATTCTAGCTTTCTTCTATAAACACACTCGCACACACTCGTTCACACACAAAGACACTCAACCACAGGAAGTCGATTTCGATTCTTATCGATGATTTGAAATAATGTCAATCTTTTCGTCCACAATTTCACAATAGTCTCTGCGATTGACAGACAGACTAGGATCGAGAATATGTGCACTTGATAGGGTAGGAGCTGCCTCCTTCTGCCAGCTGCAAATGTTTGCACAAGCCCATTATCCCCACTTTACCCACGGCTAATGATAAACAATTTAAGCAGCTTAGCAAAGTAACATAAGGCAGACAACAAGTTACGATAATGGAGGAAGCCCTCCACAAGCCAGCCACTTTGGTATCCAAGCAGTTTTGAGAAATTCCAAGGATTAGTTTGGAGCGCGCTCACTCGAAGGAGCTCTTTCAACAAAAATTATAATTAGCTCTGACTGCTTCAAAATGAGTAAGAAAATGTTAATACTGGTATATACGTAAGCTTTCTTTCCTAGCAAACAGAATAATATAAAAAGACGAATAGAACACGTTCATATATGACTTTCAAAAATTACTTTTGAATATCTCAAAAAATAATAAAACAAATTCTGAGCTATTTTGCCGATATACCTTGTTCGCAATTGAAATACCAATTGATTTATTCGTGCTCTCATTGAACGCATCGTTTGTTCGTTTTAATTGCAATTATTTTCTAGATTTTTCTTTTATTTTTGTACAAAAGTTAATAAATTCAATAATAGCATGTCTAAAATAAAACTAATGCCAAGTCATGGGGTGTAGTTGAAAATAAATGATTTCTGACAGCAGCCGGACCTTCATTTTTGGGTTGAGTATTTACAATAGGAAAAGCATAAGAGAATTCCGGCCGTCAAGTTCTTAAAGATATGTTAGAATGCAAAGTAAGTAGAAGTGGGTAGTAAGCACATTGGTCAGCTGGTAAATGAGATTCCGGCTTCAGCTTAAGTTTTCTCCTCGAACCTTGCACTAAATGGCAAAATCTCCATGATCAGCGGTCAGATCACAGGGTCTTCTGAACTCCTGACCACGCTCGTGTATCCACTTGTTGGACACTGCAAAGAGTTGAGCATTTAGTCGGCAAATCGATAGGCAAATACTTTCTGGAACCTACCCCATTTGCTGCCTGTGAGCACGGGACACGCTGCATGTCGCGTGCGCACATCTCCCTCGCCGGAGCGATGCAGATTCATCCAAAAAGCAGCCGTGCCCTAGAAATCAAATCAAAATCAAATATATAGCGATTCACTTAGACATGATTTTCCAGATATGTGTACCTTCTTGGGCCACAGAGCCGCATGCAGCGAAGTAAAGACTGTGGCGCCACCCTGCTGCACATCGCTCATCTGCAAAAAAGCAAGAACAAAGACAATGAAGAGGAGTTCAATTTTCCATCACAAGTTTGAAACTCACATAGAACAACATGGTGGCAATGCGATTTCCAAGATTGAGACCCTCAAAGGCGCGCTTCTCCTCGCGCTGTAAAACAAGAGTAAAACAAACTTTATTCACTTTTTCCGCAAGGTAAATTGATCAAAACCTACCCGCGCGAAATCAAAGTGCGGCTCGTAATGGCCGCCAATGCCGTAGTTAACCACTTGCAACTCCTCGGCGGACTCCATGTCCAGGCCCGTCATGTCCGCGGTGCGCTGCACCACTGTGCCAATGACACGATGCTCGCTGGTCTTGAGCCAGGCGGATTTGCTGATGCGATAGTTGGCCGTTTCCAGGGCGCCCGTCACCGAGTTTTGAACGGTGGCGCGGCGAAAACGTGGACGGGCCATGCGCTTGATTATCTCAATTTCGCTGTCGTACATGGCATCGTGATAAATAACAATGTAGGGATCCATGTAGGCCTCCTCCAGCTTGAGCGGGGCCAGCCTTAAAAAGGCCACATTGTTGTTGACATAGCGACAGCGCAGCGGACGCAGCTCCGAGGGCGAAGGCTTCAGCTCGCCGCGACAGAGCATTTCGTAGGCCTTGCGTTCGGTCATGTCAAAGACGCCGGGGTCGCTTTTGGCCACAGGCTAGGCAAGCGAAGAAGATAGTTAAAGAGAAGTAGCATAAAAGGATTGCGGTGTTATTGCACCTACCAGATCGGAAACGGGGATTTCATCGGTGCCATCGTCACCCTTCATTTTCTGCAGCTCCTTCAGGTGGGCAATTTCCTTCTCATAGAACTTCTTGTTGCCATTGGCCCGTTCGTGGTTGGGCAGCAATTGCAGCAGCTCATTTGTCATGGTCAGTGCGCTTTCAACATTGCCTACGCTTGCCCATATTCCAATTACAATTTCAATTCCGAATCCAGTTCCGGTTTTGAGGTGAGGGTCAGAGAGAGAGAGAGAGAGGGAGAGAGAAGACTGAATTAATGAATGCCCAAAAGTAAGCTTCAGTTGGTCTTGGCCAGCTCTGACTTTTGACTGCCGCCCCCAAACCAACTCAGCTCAAATATAATCAAAAGTTCTTGGTTATGAGAGGACAGTGTACACTCGTAAATTAGAAACAGGGATACATTTGAATTTCATTTTGTGTTTATGTTTCTGTATGCGTCGCCCAAAAGTATGCAATGCTCTTAAGATCTACAATTCGTAGACTTTTCAGACTGAAATTAATAATACATTAGGCGATAGCTCTGCTCTCTTGAATGCCCGGCAAATGACAAATGCATAATAAATTATTTATGGCTGCCACACAACGGCCAGGCACAACGGCACAACGTATGATAAAATGGCCAACAAATAAGTAGAAGTTTCTTTTTATTTGCAGCGAAAAGGCAACTTTTCAGAGCCCTTGCAACTTGTGTTTTTGTTCTTTTTGGTTTTCTAATAAAAACTTTCAGCATTGAAATTATTCGCATTTATTTGTGTCCTAGCCTCGCCCTGGTAGTTTCTCAATGGCAAGTCCCTGGGCTTTTTGCACCAATTAAATTGCCAAGCACTTTAAGAGTGGCCCTTAATTTCATTGAATATTTGGTTCGCCTTCGTCCGGCCCACCTGACTCTGCGAATTTAAATTTGCGTTTTGCATGCCAATGCCTGCGATCCTGACACATATGCCCTCGAGGAAGGCCGAGGGCAACGGATTTTTTGTGTCAGAATGTCTGTTGGATGCCTGTAAATGTGGGCTATGGCGGGGGCGTGGTCGGGCTGAGGTGCGGCGTACACACTTTTTTTACACTTTTTCACAATATGGCCGCAGTTTTGTTTACTGTAGCCTGTTCGTAAATACTGCGGAGTCGCATTTTTACACGGCGCACAGGCGAAACAGAGACGAACAAACAAAAAACGTGAAATAGGAAAGTTTACGGTTGTAAGATACTCTGTTCGTATAGATATCGCAGGTGTGAGGAAGTCTTGTTGATTACAGGGGTCGAAGCATTATGTGACCCAATCTATTAAATTATGATTAAAATATATTTAAAAAAAATAAATATATATCAGAAATATTTGAACTCAGCTCTTTAGAAGGTTAGCGCCAATTACTATCTCTCTAGCCTTATAACTGCCTATCTACTTAAAATAATTGATAATGTTTTATTGTTTATCCTCCTGTATCTATATACTATACTCTACAATACATTTTTTTATTATTTTTTACTATATACTATACTATACTCTATATAACTTTTTCACCCTTTTCATATCTTCTATCACCAACTTTATTCTATTTGCATCTAATAATTATATATTTTTAAAAATCTGAGAGCGCCAAAATTTTTGGTTTAAAAACTGCTAATTTTGCTTTTTGAAAAATTGTAGAATTTATACTAAAACAAAAGTTTTTATATTCAGCTCGAGATCTAGCTTTGCAGCCAAATTTTGGGGGATTTGCGTCAATCGCCTTTTAATCATACATTTGTACACTTCTTTAACGCTTAATGTGGAAGTCGTAATAAATCAAAATTTGTTTTTTTCGCAATCTACCCGTTTAACCTTTAAACACAGAGTGGACAGAGTATGGAAAAGGGAGGCCACACGGGCATAAAGACAGATAGCGTGTCTGATATAGATACAGGCACAGGCGCAGATATAGATACAAGCACAGATATAGATAGATGTGCTGCGTAAACTTTCTCGCCGTGACAATTTATTGCAAATGGGCACGGGAAGGTAGTTTGAAGCTAAGCCTTAAGGGCTAGAGTATGTGCCATATCCTTGGATAACTGTCCAGGCAATAAGGCATTAATAAACCGCACTCCGGCTTGTGCAAATACGTGCACTTGCTGGCTTGTACTAGAGCTACGTGATTCTGAGTATATCCGAAGGCTGCACGGCCACGGCTTGACGCTAAGCCAGCGACAATATTGGCATTGCTTCTACAGACAGTCAACAATTTTTCGCACTTAACGAGCCCGACGCTTAATCGCCCGAGGAGTCCAGCTCATCTTGGCTCACCTGGCCAGGGGCCAGCGAAGTGCAATTTCCTGCAGCCAAATGGTCAAGTGACAAGCAACAGCAAGCAGCATGGGTCGCCTGTGTGGCCTGGGAGTGAAAGGGGCTCTCGGAAGTGTCATGCAAACGAGTCGGAACACAACACAAGAACCACAGTAAACAACCACACAAATGACTCTGATGGCAACAACAGCCAAAATGGCCACAAGCAGCTGGGCACGTAGCCTTCAGCGTACTCACCCTGCTTGTACGTGGAGAAGGCGAGGTATTCGAGGACATCGGCACGCGTAAAGCTCTGCGTCTGGTTGTGCGGCTCCTCCAGCATACGGGACATGGCCTCGTTCATCCAGAGCACCGTATGGTAGTAGTCTCGATTGACGTACGACTGTCGACCCAGCTCGAAGCAGTCATCCGAGGACATTGCCGTGCTGCGTAGATGTATTTGCTTAGTCGAAATCCAGCCTACTTGGTAGCTGCTGTGCTATTTCCATGCACTTACCTGTACTGTATGCCGTTCAGCTTGCCCCGTGCCACACTGGACGTGTCCAGCTGATAAGTGTCCTGCAGTCGGAGCAGCGCCACTGCCGCCCCGTTGAGGTCCTCGTCCGAAGGAAACTTCAACACGTTGCGATATTGCGTGAGGTTCTGCACAAAATCTTTGGATTGCACAAAATATATACAGTTTAAATCGGATTTTAAGGCTGAGTTCATCTCAATGTGAAAGCAGATGTAATCTTACCTGTGCCCACATCGTGCCCCATGAGATTCTCCACCTGCCGCCAGTCTGTGGTCAGTCGTTTGGTCAGCAGATACGCATTGATGGGATTCGATACGTAGGCGGTTATATCGCTAGCAGCATCCGCATGCTCTCTTTGGTATTCATCCATTTTGCTAAAGTTAAAAAAAAAAAGTAAAAAGTTGCGTAAGCAATTTACTGAATAATTTGATTACATTTACGTAAACTAATAACTAAATTACGAGTGCATCTGCGGTTCGTACGAAGCCGCTTGTACGAAAGTTAAGGCAAACCGAAGTTCAGCTCAAGAGCAAATCAACAAACACTTTGCTGAACTACATAAATTCCCGTGAATACATTCCACATCAATTTAGCAACATAATCTGTTTTTTTTTTTTGTAAAATTAATCAACTTTTAGCTGGTAAATCAAATTAGGGCATGTTCATGTTTAAAATGGATAATTAATCAAATTTAAGCTTTAAAACTAAGTTAGTTTTACGAATATTGCATGCATAAAAAATAGAATACCAGCGGTATTATTTAGCCTTATTTTATCCCATTATTTTGGCTGCCAATTTTATACATCAATTCCCATTTTCCATATCTTTTCGTTTATAGTACAACCTTCGAATCGCAGTTTACATTCAAGGGAGGTTAATTTCGCGGAAAAAATTAAACATGTATTAAGAAAACTTTTACAAAGATGTTTGAAAATGAGTTTAAAGCCGATAGGATGGTAAGTAAAAGAGTTTCAAGCCCTGTCTTAGCGCGCAGCTTCAACACATAAAGTAACTAAAGTAAGAATTTCAGCTAACTAGTTCTTACGGTGTTGTCCGTCAATTAGTCAGTTATTCAGCCAGTCAGTCATTCAATCAATCATGTTGCAAAAGTCGAACAGAAGTTAACACAAAATATTTTCAAGAAAACGCGACCTTCCAATTGGAAAATGTGACGGAATGGCGTTCCACAAATTAAAATTTTCAATTATGAGATAAAAGATATTGTTTTTAGTTAAATTTTCTTAATTTTTGAAATATTTAAAAAAAATATTAATATCAAATATAGAGTTAATAAAATATCTTATTGGAATCTTATTGGAATTGCTCTACGTATTAAATTTTCGGTGAGCACACATGTCAAGTATAAATTTATAGTGAGCGAGCAGAGAGAGGGAAGAAAGAGAGGGAGAGTGAGAATCATTGCAAGATATAGAATGAAATAGAGAAGAGAGTGAGAGACAAGATGCTTAAACATTATTTGATGTGTCTAAGATAGAGATAGAGTTAGCTGACACTCGATTCTAAATACCCTTTCGTTGTAAATACCCTTGTAAATATAATCCACCCTTATAACAGAAGAGAACCTTCGCTATAAATGCCGATCAGAAATACGTAACTATATACTTCTAAGTTATAAAATCCCTTTAAGAAATATGTTTTTTAGTGTGTGCTTTTGTTGTTAACTTTATTTGATGCAATGTGCAAATCTTAGACTAAATAATTTAAATAATAATTTATTTTTTCTCAAAACAATTCTAGATGCCTTAGATATAATTACAACCCATTTTTGCATAGGTTAGCCCTATGATTCGATATATACAGTCTTGAAAACAAAATTCGCTGCCGGAATTTCGCGCGCGTCTTTACTTATGAATATTTTTTTTTGGTCGCCTAGCCGTTACGGATGCCGCTCGCTAAAAAGAAAACTGAAACTAAAACTAAAACAAACTATGAGCTAGATAAAGACTAAAGAAAAGAAACGCCTAGACCACATTGACGCGGTTGTCGGGCGGCGGGCGATAGCACCAGAGGCTGCCAATGACGCCTAGGCCAATAAAGAACATGGTAAAGGTGGACAGGCCCAGTATGACGCCCGTGGTGACATCGTGCAGGGGCAGTCCTGGAAACGGGTCCAGCACCAGAATTAGCAGCAGGCCGCAGCACTTGAACAGGCAGAAGATGGTGACCAAGATGTAGCCGGAGGTGTAGCTGCGGTTTGGCAGCCACTCGCAGTGGCGCGAACGAAAGCCAAGAAAACCCAGACCCATGCCGCAAAAGGAGGCCACCAGCCCGAACTGCAGGTAAAAGGACTTGCCGAACTAAGGCAAAAGAGAGTAAGAAAATGTGCACACATTAGTCGGGGATGAGGAATTGCCAGATTAGAGTGTACTCACGTGGGCTATCATGTAGATGATGAGGCCGGCATTCATGGTGCTGCCCAGGACTAGCATCAGGGACACAACGGCCAGCGTAATGGTGGCATTGGCCAGCTTCTGTGGATACGAGTTGTTGTTCGCATTCGACTTGCCCTGCAGGCTGCTCAGATCCTGCTCCTGGCCCTGCACACGCGGACTTATCACCGCCATGGTGCGGTCACTGGCCAGTTGCTGTGCTGCCTGCACCGGCGCCGACGTCAGCTTCACCGTCTCATAGTGCAGTCGCTGCGGCGAGAGTCGCTGCTGACGCAGCGGCAGCGCTGGAGACGGCACCACCGAGATGGTGGCCTGTTGGTGTAGGTTAATGTGCTGCTGACTCTGGTAGAGCTGCAGGCGACGCTCGCGCTGCAGCTGCTCGTGGTGGGCCGCATTGCGGGGCGTGGAATGTGCCAGACGCGGTGGTGGTTGCATTTTGCGGGGTGTGGTGAGCAGTTCGTGCAACGCTCGCGTTGCAGCTGCCGCATTGCGCTGCTGCGGGGTCGATGTGCGCATGCTGAACTGTTGACTGAGCTCCGTGTGGCTCAAGCAGGTTTCCTGCTGTGTGTGCCCAGAGTCCTCCGCCAGATCGTCGTCATCCGCCTCTGTGGGTATGACCGCATAGCGATGCGCGCGTCCGTTGTGCATCTGTATGATCTCCTGGTTTTCGTCAACGAGCTCCTCATCTTCCGCCGTGGGCACCATCTGATAGCGCTGATTGCTGTTCTTGTCCACAATCAGAAATGTTTTGCTGCCAAAGTCGCTGGAGAAGGCGTGCTTGATCTTGGGCGCCGGTTTCGGCGGCAACGCGTTTAATGTGGGCGGCAGGCTGGCGAACTGCGTCTCCTGCTGCTGATGCGGCTCCTCGTGAAACGAGTGCGGCTCCTCGTCCGACTGCAGGCCTTGCCTCGAGCCATAGCGATCCAGATTATCCTGCGAGCGGGCCAAACGCTGTGCGGCCTGTCCCGGCACAATCGCATAGCGACTGGCCACGGCACCCAGCTCCTCCAGCGGCACCAATGCATAGCGGCCACTGGACGACTGTTGCTGCTGCTGCTGCGGCTGCTGCTGCTGCTGCTGTTGCTGCTGCTGCTGGTACTGTTTACGCGTCACCGAGCGCGTCGACATGCTACGCTGCATGCGCAACGGTCCCTCGCGCGGATCGCGACAGGGTGCAGCCGGCACCTGACCGGGACGGGAGACCGCATTAAAGTTAAGCTGCAGGCTGCGATTGTAAATGGACTCAACCCTATTGCTCGACGGCACCGGATAGAACTCGCTGTTCTGGCAGAAAGCCGGATTCGTATAGTTGTGCTTGGACATGGCCGCACTGTACTTGAATATGAATGTAGATGTGTCTTAGGGTTTTCACTGTCACTGCACACGTTCACGATCACTGGTAACTACTGTTGGTTGACTGGCTGACTGTCTGGTCCGCACGGCACGACAACTGCGTCTCGACTGAACTGCGACGCGGGCTGCCAGTCGCTCCTCGGCTTGCAATTTCCTGCGCCGGCGCGCAGTCGAGTGGATCGGCAGCGACGCGTGCGTTGCTCTGACCCCCCCTTTAGACAAAAATATAACCATTTACTTGGCTTATATACAAGCACACACATAATAATTGAGCTCAAGACAACTGCAGAACAACAACATCAACAACAACAACAAGAGCTGGCGGCAGGCGTCGTTTGGCGCGTTCCCTTGTGCTGGAAACATCTGCTCCTGTTCCTGCTGCTGCTGCGACTGCTCATGAGGGTTGAAACGAATTTCGGTCATGCCGCAGCCGGCGTTGCAAGGTTTTATCAGTATTTTGAATTTATATTTACTCAATTCATAACAGCGAAATAGGCGACGGCAAAGACCTCACACTTTCGTCCATATATACATCAAGTTCTATATACTCTATGGAAACGCCCCTGGCTCCGGCGACCGTTACAGCATATGCTGTGCGCTTATCGAGTGTTAATAGTGTGTATACACACTACCCGCTCTTCCACCTCCCCGACTGTGCCAACTTTATGCTGTGGCCAGCCTATGTTGGCCAACTTAATTGGATTTCGCCCCAGCGGCGACGGTACCCACAAAACTACAAATCCAATCCAATTTTGATGCCGTAAAGAGAACTGACAACCGGCGGCAGATGCCCCTCACTCTCTCCCCCCAACTGACCCACAGTTAGTTATTGTGAAATTTATGCATTGACATAAAAGGATGCGCTGTCAAAGGATCTCACATACGTTCATTACCAACACTAAAGCCCGGCCAGGAGCTGTATCCTTGCTGGCGAATTCTACTGCTTGCCAAATGGAATTATTTTAACTCGACATTAAATTTATATTTGAGTTAAGACAACGGGCAGCAGGCAGCAGGCTCATGGCACGCGCCACATGCGGCAGCGATGAGAGCAGATGAAAAGAGAGAGAAGAGCTGCAAGGATGCGACTGCGTTGCAATGACAGCGCAGATCCTCAACAACAGCTGACAGCTGTTTTGTCAGGCCCCGTCCGCTTATTGTGCCAAAGCGGACGCCGGCGAGAGGAAGGGAGGGCGCCATCAAGTAAATAAGATAGATCCTGTGCTTGGGCTCCTGCTGCTGGCTGGGTTTGTTGGCTGTTGGCATATTTGATTAGGGGAGTTGCCTTACCGCATCCGCTGCTTCTTTTATCCTGCATCTACGTCCTTCCGCTGCAAGCAGGGGCAACAACCATTTACCTCACAAACATGCTCCAGTATATAGAAGCATGTATGTATATGTATACATGCCAGGGGTAGCTCAAGATATGCTGAGTAAATAACGCTCGGTGTGTGTTTGGCGCCGCATAGACACAAACGACAATGCATGTATTTACACGTTTATGTTGCTGCCCGTTCCGTTTCTGCAGATGCAACAGCTGCCACACGCACGTGGCTAAAATACTGGCGACAGCCACACTGTAATTATGAGCATACCAGCGCGAATCTCACCTCGGTCTCACCTGCCTAGCGCTACCTAGCCCCATCTAAAAGCTCATTTGCATAGGAGATAATGTGAAACAAACTAAAATACATTTAGTCGAGTCAAACAAACTAAAAGATACCCTATGCTAAGCTTGAACATGGGCATATACTTAACTGACAGCACACACAGAAATTCACATACATATACCCGCATAACACAGAGCATGTGCTTCTTCTTGCCTCAGCACAACAACATGGATTATTATACGATATTTTTAAGATTTTCCAAGCTTCAATATGGGCACAAAATGGTTGCAATTTATATCAAAAAATATATATGTATTATATATATATACATATAAACATATATAATTATAATATAACATATAGAACACAAAGCATATATGTATATATATATATATATGTATTCTTGATCAATATTAACAGCTGAGTCGATATAGTTCTACGTGATTGTTCTTATGCAATCTCTAATCTAATCCTATTTAATCTTATCTCTCAGTGTTAAGGTTGACTTTTATTAGGTTCGACTTTCTGTTGTAGATAGTACATATATCGTAACTAGACCGAACCCTTATACCATTTAGCTATCGTAGGAATGATTGATCGAAAATAAAGTTATTGAATGAGAAACGTCTATATTTCTCGAGATATCTTGACATTTGCGGGATTTATATGAACGAGTAAAATCTTATCAACATCAAATATCAATATCATATAGCTTTATCAAAAGAATTGGTCTAAACAGAGACCATGTATTGGGAACTTTTATTTTCCCCAAAATGTCTTGAACACCAATTACGAATTCAATTATTCACTATTATCTGTAAGGTCATATTTGACAGCAATAAGGATATTTGCCGTTCTTTCCTCTTTATACCCTTATAGAGGGTAATATAATGTTGATTTGAAATGTGTAACGCATAGAAGGAGACATCTCCGACTACATAAAGTATATATATTCTAGATCAACATCAACAGCCGAGCTTATATAACCATGTCTGTCTATCTGTTTCTATGCGAACTAGTTTTCTTTTTTTTTTTTTTTTTAGCTTCGGGAAAGTAATATAGTATATACTTGATTAGAGAGAGCATTTTACGTGTCGACCTTTCTCCCAAATATTCTGCTTTTAGCTCATATAATCATCCACGATTAAATATTAGCAATCGATATCGACATATACAATCTAGCTTTTCTATAGTTCTTACTACCAGCCAGCGAATCTGTTTGTAGTCCAGTTCAAGAACATATATTTATGGCCTTAGATATGCTAGAGTTACACAAAAATATTATACCCGTCTTCAACCGTTTGCAAGGGGTATATGAAATTCCGCGCTCTAAGAAAGTATCTTAAGTGTATGCAAATGGTACGCAAAGCTACTCGTTGCATACTTGATTTAACGAAGGACATTTCGCAAGAGAGCTTCCTGCAGATACATTTGTATTTGTACTCACTTCTTCAGATAGCTTAGCCGGTCCTCCTGCACGCGAATGTAGCCTTCTAAATTGCTTATCAATACAGATTCAGTCTCAAGTAGCTCCTCCATTTCCGCCAGCGCCGTGTAGAGTTCCCCGCGCACCGCCACCCCAGTCAGGGCGAGCACAAGGACGCCGAGCGCCAACTGCAGACGCAGACAGGACGACATCGTGCAGCCTGCAAAGATATAAGCAAGCATAAATAATTAAAGCATTACGATTGCATTTTGTGTGTGTGCATCCAATAAATTTATGTTGCCTTTCTAATTTGCATAATAACTGTTTCTATTGGCCTGATGGCGACCATTGACCGTGTGTGAAGGTGACCTAAGACCACCTAATCAAACGGCCTCCGGGGGCCTGTGGGAAGCGTGTGTGTCACTGAGCTCGAAAACAGCTTTCGTAATAATTAATATCCTGCTCCACAGCTGACACGGTTGGCTACTTATATTTAAGATTTAAAGCTCGCTCGGAAACTGGAAACGGCACTGGGAATGTATTTCGAAACCCGGCCTTGCAATTTGTTTTAATGAGTTTTATTTTATAATTTGGCCAGCCGTACAGCGTTTTTGTTTTATGACATTCGGTTTATTGCTCTAAGTCGTAATACGCGGCAAAATAAAGTCAATAACAGCAGGAGAATAGCTCATAGGTGACTTAAAGATACCCTATATATATGACTGAAATGAGTTTTTAGATGGAATTCGTTTATTGCATGCTAAAGTTCAATTATGAATTTTAAAATAGTCAAAGCAACTAACTGATACCCTGTATATATGACTGAAATGAGTTTAAAGCAGTTTATTTAAAATAAATTGCATATCAATAAAATAATAATAATTTAAGACTAATAAAACCGACTAAAAGATATGAATCAATATGCAAAACCAGATACTGCGAGCCCATTTCTAATATAAAATTTTGTAACTAATTTAGGAGGCTTTGAGACACCCTGTATGTCGTATCAAATTGATAAATACCCATGCACCTTAAACATATATATGTATTCTGAGTCCAATTGGATTATCTTATTGTTTTATATCTGAGTACAATTTGAACGAATTTTGAATACCCTTTAAGCAAGCAAACCTTTTTTTTATAACTTTTATCTGAAAGCTTGTTTGCATGCGGATTGAGAAGCCTTTGGCATTATTTGCAACAAAGAATAACTTGAGCGACTATTAAACACCCTGTATCAATCGGAAGATCCAAAGAAAGAGTGTGAAATGCAATCTCATTTCTAGGTGCCAGTTTTACGGATCTATGATTAATTCAGACATTCAGTATTGATGATCAAAATTAATGGAGCAGGTGGCAGATACGATTCTATCTATGAACAAATTGAAATGCGATAAATATTATTAGTAGATACATTTATAGGTGTGACTTTTGTGGCTTGTTCTCGCATTTGCACAACAAGATCCCGTTCCGAATTAACGGTAATTAGTGGATGCGACGCAAACAGCTTGTTGTTTCGGTTTATGTGGAGATAAATTAACTATCGCGATTAATTAGCGGCACGCTGTTTATTTGTGTATTCAAGATAAATGCGTTTTTAAGCATGTTTTATGAATGACCAAAACGATTCAATTTGCATTTAAAGCGTGCATAGATTGATTTTCACTCTGATTCGGGCTTAATCGGCGGAACTCTCTGCTTGTCTGCTTGCCTGCTTGCTGGCAAGGACACATGCATCGTAAATGCTGTTTAATTAGTCAGCATTAATTATTTTGTCTTTTGGTCTGCCGCACACCGCACATCAAGCACACCTGAGAGACAGCCACCGACCGCAGCAAACGGACCGCACACATCTCAGCATGACACAATATCGCACTTGCACTCGGACGGTAATTGCTCACATTAATCAACGGCAAGTTCGCTCGAGTTGACAAATTCAAGGCGAAGATGCGTCCATCTTCAGCGTGCTGCTTAACCGGCTGTCGGCCCGTGTTTGCTCGCCGAGGCAAATAAAACCCAGCAGCGCATTCGCTAACGAATAATGACAACATTGCTCTTAATGGCTGCCCCGCCCGATCTTCAGATAATATACTAATCAAATGGCAACCGAATGTGCTCTGCTACTTGAACGAGCTGCTCGAACAGGCAGAGATTCGTTCCAACAACGTTTTCAACTCTGAATAACAAGTTGTAGCGGATATGCACCTTTACAATTTTAACGAAGTTTAATTTTGTTTCAATATGTGTTTTTTTCATTTGCCTAACGGTTTCTGACAAAAATTAAAATTTCAAAGTGAGCCGATTTGGATACGAAAAATAGGAATACCAATTATTTGAATTGTTTATTTATTGAATTGTCAACAATATTTCAGTAACATGTTCATTAGAATTCAAATAAAAAGAAAACATCAAAACTGAGCCGTATTTTATACAAAATACAATTTTGATCAAGGTTTATTTCCTACTTTGCAGTTCACAAATATTTTTACTTAGAATAAACTAATATTTTGTTTGACTAGAGCCTGTTACTTGTTTAATTTTAATAATAATAATAATAAATGCACATTAAAGAATTTGTTTCGTAAAAGATCTTATTTACAATTATAAGTTTTATTTGTAATAATCGAAAATTCTAGAGTACATTCACTTTTGAAACATTGATACATGTATTAAAACTGAGCTGAGCTACATTCTGAACAATATTTTATTACCTAAACTATCTCTCTATTTAAAAAATCAAATTTGAATAAGATGCACTCTATTTAATATTTTATTGGGTAATCGCACGAATTTAAAAATACTTCCTCCAAAACCTATGAACCTATATGAAAAAAAGAAAAATATTATACCTTTTGTATCTTTTATATGTTGTTTGCTTTGCAATACTTGAAAACATTTCTAAAAAATAGTTGACTCGAAAAATTTAAATACTAGCATACATAAAAGCCAACACTTTGCA